TAAGTCCATGCCACTGTCTCACTTCGTCCCAGCTTACCCTTCCCCCTCCACGTGTCCTCAAGTCCATTCTCTATGTCTGCGTCTTTATTCCTGTCCTGCCCCTAAGGTTCTTCAGAACCTTTAGAGAGGAATGTTAAATTAAGTTTATTTGGTATGTTTAATTACTTCAGAAACATTGTCAAGTGATTGGAGACGAACCTTAGGTTATAGTGTATGGATAAATGTCATTAATATAGATATTCCAAAATTTATATGGAATTCCTAACATCTGATATGCCCTGATACAACGTTATCAGTCATAATTCTAATTATTCTAAAATGTTATATGTCACGGAAATATCCAAGTCTCCTACTAATTGCATTGTACTCAAATCTTTAACCATGCTATTTTAAGTTTTGTCCTGATGCTTTTACAGAATGAAGATTTTCAAGAAGACTCATAAAAAGAACTTTTTTTTTTTAACAAACATAAGTTTCTGATGGCCTTTAGATAATACCACTGAACTATGTAACAAATGATGGAAAACCTGATTACTTCATCCAGATCAACAGGAATCCATTACATGGGGCTGAATGAACTGATGAATATGATTTATAACTTCATGACTTTGGGAAATATACTAGCTTTAATATTGTTTTTCCAGAAAAACCTTTTCTCTTATGCTATGACCTACAAGTTGATAAAGTATACCCTTGTAAACAAAGATAAAACATTTATCTTTTTCGCTCTACCTGATCCTGCCAGAATTTGGCTTTTCCAGCTGGCTCTCCTATGGACTTGATGGTTTATTGCACTGGATTACAACTAGTTATACTAAGCATTGTTTTAATTTGTTCTTTGTTTCTAAATTGTTTATAATTGTGTCTCCCTGCTGCACTATGACTCTGTCAATATTACTAGCTGCATTACTTATATCCTGTCTATTTTTTTTCTTTTTTGCGGTACGCGGGCCTCTCACTGCTGTGGCCTCTCCCGTTGTGGAGCACAGGCTCTGGACGCGCAGGCTCAGCGGCCATGGCTCACGGGCCCAGCCGCTCCGCGGCATGTGGGATCATCCCGGACCGGGGCATGAACCCGCGTCCCCTGCATCGGCAGGCGGACTCTCAACCACTGCGCCACCAGGGAACCACCATATCCTGTCTATTTTATAAGATTGTTGTCTCTTACAGTACTCAATGATAGTAACCAGGCTATTAGCCTACTGAATTCTGAGGTCTAAATGATGGGAAAAGCAGTGCTACAAAATTGCACGGCTCTTGACATCCTTACAGCATCTCAGGGAGGCACCTGTGCCATAATTTAAACTGAATGCTGTGTTTTCATACCTGATGAATCCTCTAATACAACATGTTTAATGAACCATATGAAAAATCAGATTTCTGCCTTAAGTGACCCACTCCCAAATCCTGACGACCTCTTAGAAAACTGGTTTGGCGTGGGACGCTCTTGGCTTAAATATTTACTCATAACTCTATTAATATTATTAACTATATTATTTGTATTTTGCCTGTTTTACAGGGTCGTTTTCTGTATTACCAAATGTGTGACTGAGCCTCTAACAAAAATAATGATGACTAGGCGGCTTGAAACAGTCGATCAAATAAATAGTTCTGTATACGATCAGTGATTGTAATAGTGCAACTCTAGATATGGGAAGATTCAACAAGGGAAAACATTTCCTGGATCATAATAGGTTAGTAAGACAAAGGATCCAGAAAATCTTTAATCTGATGATTAAACAGGGCCTAATCTGAAAATTAACACCTGGAGTGGTATATCAACAAGAATTTTCACCTGATCTGGGATGAACCTCCCAGCGCTGTGGGACAAAATTTGGTCATGAAATGTCTCCCAAACATTGGTCTAATTTCCGACCAAGAGGAGGGACTGATAAATGGAATATTTATAAATGTAATGGAATATTTATAAATGGAATTTCCTGCCATATCACTAAACAAAGGATGTCATAGTCATCAACGATTGCAGCCCTCCAACGTGAGCCAGTGAGCCCTGAGGGAACTCAGGGCTGAAAAGAATACCTGCCATTTAGTAGCCAACTGACTGCAGCCACTCCCTACGGTGAGCCCTGAGGAAACTCGGGATGTGAAAGCACAGGATACAGGCCCCAGATGGCTGAGGTGCATATCAAAGGAATGATTTCAGTAAGCCCAGACTCTTGCATCTTCCCATACACTGAAAAGCGCTAAATTCCTTAATTTGAGATACCTGGTTTTCTTTAGTTAACAATAACCTTTTGACGTTCTGACTACCTGCCCTTTGTTATAAAACTTCTATATAACCCGGCTCCCCTCCTCGTCTCCCCGGAGCAGTTTCTCAGAGTTCACTGAAACGCTGTCTGCTGGGCTGCAGTCCTCATTTTGCCCCAAATAACTCGCAACTCTTATGTTGTGTTTTTTTTTAAGTCAACACTGCCATTTCTTGATTACAGAAAATAGGCTTCATTCAGTCTCCATTACTTTCCCTGTGTTCCAACCAGCAGGTTCAAACAGTTGCTAATTAGGGGAGGGGGATGCGGAGACTAGGGAGGAACTGCCAAAAGAAACAATAGTGCAGCCTTGGGGTAGGGTCCTGGTTCCCCCTCAAGGGACGTGCAAAACAATACCTTTGAGCTGTTTTGCAGATACTGAAACCCCAGCCAGGTGGGAGAAGTTAACTGCATGCTTCCCACAAGCACGTAGACCTCAGGCCACCAGGTGGAAACAGAAGGTTGATGATGCTGCCTCCCACTTACCTCACCACCAACCCAATCAGAAAAACGTCCACAAGCTGATCATGCCCTCTTCGAACCATTACTAATAAAACTCTTCACTACCCCCTCCCTGTTGGGACGCATAGTTTTTGAGGGCACTAGCCCGCTGTGGCCGCCTTTGCCTGGCAAAGCAATAAAGGCCAGTTTGCTTCACTGGTCAGCACCCACCATCTCCTTCGAGTGCCCCCGGTCCAGGGATGCCAGCTCCCACAAAGCTACGCCTCATGACCCAGGGCTTGGAGCTCTGGGGGACGTCTGGGCAAAAGCCTGGGCACTCCTGGTGCAGCGGGAGGCCATCTCCTCTTACTTGTGACAAGGCAGCACATAACGCAGCCCACTGGCTTCCTGGGCAGCCCATTAGGGAATCAGGGATCCTGGGCTCCGAGGGGTCGGGGCGGGGAGCGCCTCTGAGGACACGCACTGGCGCGCATGCAATGCTTCCCTCACTGCCTACCACCGACCCCCCCTGCAGCCCTCACCCCTCCTGCACCCCCTCCTCCATGCACCCCCAAGGACCTGGAAGGCGGCAGTAAGGGGTGGGGGGAACTAGAGCCTTAAAGCCCACCCGCGTCCTTCAAGGCGAGGGAGGAACGCATCTTCCTAACAGTACTTCTCTCAGGGATCAGCCTGAAAGCAAGGACCCTGTGAGGCCCTCCTGGACACAAAAGCCTTTCTGTGTCTCCCGTTTCTGGTTTGTAGGAAGTAGGCGTCATTCAGCCCCGAGTTCCAAACAGCAGGTTCAAACATTTGCAAATCAGGGAAGGGAGGGGGAGGGATGCGCAAACAAGGGAGAAGCAATCCAGAAACAATGTGCAGCCTTGGGGCTGGGTCCAGGTTCCTCCTCAAGGAAAATACAAAGCAAGATCTTTGAGTTCTTCAAGGGACCTACGAGCCAATGGATGAGTTTCGAGCCCGGGGATGAGTTGTCAACCCGAGAGCCCAAGGCTCAATCAAATACTGGAACCTACTGTAAGAGTGGGGGGAATGGTTAGGAGGCTGAGTCCCACTGCAGCGGCTCCAGCCCTGGGACACCGCACATCCCCGCCCCCCCCACTTCCCCTGGCTCAGTAGGTGGGGCGCTGCGACCGCAGCTGGGACGCTGAGACTGCGCCTCCCCCTCCCCATTCCCCTCAGGAGGCGCAGGTTGGACCTCTCCCCACTCCCGCCGGCCCCGGTGAGCCGGGTGGAAGGCAGGAGCTAGACGGGGGAACCTGGACCAAGACGCTGCCCCCAGCTCTTCCTTAAACAGCAGCGACGGCTCCGAGCGAACGCGAACACGTGGGACTCAAAAGTTGGTCTCCCGCAGCAGCCCAGGAACGCGGTACTGGGTCCGCCCCTACTTACCAGGCGCGGGGCCCCGAGGGCGGACTGGGCTTCGGCTGGCGGGGTCCAGCCCGAGTGCGGCGGCGGTGCGGCCGCGGGCGAGGTCGAGGGTCGCGCCGCCCTCCCCTCGGGCTCCGGGGCAGCGCAGCGGCGGCAGAGAGAAGAGACGCCAAGCCGGGAGTTCGGGCTCCGCGGGGACCCGGGCTTCACTCTAGGCGTCGGGGGTGGGTCCGCTCGGCCCTAAGTCTCTAGAGGAGGGGGGCGGGGGCGGCGGAGAGTGTGGGGAGCTAAAAGGAGGAAGCGGGGCCAGAGCCGGCGGCGGGGCACCAGGCCTCCGCAAAGAGTTTCCACCTTATGAAGATCCGCTGGCCACGCAGCCCACGCGTCGCCCACGCGCCGCCTGCTCCTATGCTTTGGCGCGAGCGCCCCCTGGGGGCCGGGAGGAAGGCGGGCAGGGAGCGGAGTGCACCGCCCGGCCCCTCCGTGCCCCGCCCTCCGGGTGTCCCGAAGCGGGCGGTCCGGACTGGGGTAGGCCCGCCTTGGCAGCAGACCTGGCTCCTGGCTATGCCCCATCGCTCACCTGCAGCTCCTGGGGACACGTCTCCTCTCCACTTTGGGGTAAAGCGGGGATATCTGGAAGCGAGTAGGAGTGATGCTTCTTTTCGCACGCATTCCAGGAAACTTCTTGGATGGTTGTTCAACTGCCACAAAAAACGGTGAGGATATCGCTCACCTCTGCATCCTCAAGGTCTCCAAGAGCGCCTGGCCTATGGTAGGAGCCTGGTAATTATTTTTTAGTAAATAAGTGCATGAATAAATGGATCATGAGGCTTTTTTTCATCCCATAATGTCTTCTGGAATACATCCACTTCACAAATAAGTAGAAGATAAAGAAATTCTTGGGGAGCACCAATGTTTTAAAATAAATATAAACAGGCTGTCTTATGTAAGGAGTAACCACTGCCACATGTTCTGAAGCACTTTAGAAAGGAAATGTGGCTTTCCTGTTCCAAACTTATTAAAAGTCGAATTCAGACAAATGAGCGCTGGAGGTGTATACTGTGCCTTACGTCTGATTCTTTCTGCAACAACAGATAAACTAGACGGCTACAGTAATCAAAGAGGATTATTCCACATCCAGAAATGGAGCCAGCTGTCAGGTGGAGGAGCACACAAGCCAAAGGAGGCCTGTTGGCGTTTTTGAGAGTGTCTGCTTCCAGCATAAGGTTTACTTTATTTATTTACATTTTTATTTTTTTTATTTTATTTTAAAAAATCCATTATTTATGAAACCATTCTCTTTGGTCAGATATATACTGGTATTGAAAACAGTTAAAACATGTAATGGTTATCTACAGAAAAATCATTTCTGATTGTTGTATTCCCTCAATAGCATATGCATCTACACAGGTGCAAGGATATTATATTCCCCAAACATTTTATATTCAGAATTAAATTTTAAAGGACCATGTTTTCCATAGTTTTGGTCTGGTGAACAGGTTATTAAAAAAAAAACCATTAAAAGGGGCACAAGTCATCAGAATAGGCACCCAATATCACAATAGGCACCAACCATCAGAATAGGTGCCAACTATCAGAACAAGGCATCAGCCGTCAGAACAAGCACCGATGACCAGAAGAGGCATCAACCATCAGAATGCTTGACATACTGTTTATTCCCCGTTGAACTTTCACTTCACTTATTCATGTATTTATATTGGAAAGGACTCAGCTTTCTGTTTGATTCAGTGGGTTATTATCCATTACTTTCATTGTTTATTTTAATCCTCACATTGTCCCAGATTTGACCAGTGAGGACCTCTTCAAACTGGATTCTGGGTCTTTTTAACATGCTCCATCATTCTTAGAGCATTTTGTTACTTTGTAGGCCCCAAAGATCTTACAGGCTCATCTTGTATTTTCCCTGCCCCTTGGATTCTTTTAATGGAGAATGGCTTTTAGAAGTCAGATATGGGTGCTAGGTGTGCTCATTGCTATTGGGGTGCTCATTACTCCTAGGCTGTCTCAGTGGACAGAACAAAAAGTGTGTGTGCATATGTGTGTCTCACAATTACATTAATATTTATCTCTATATATTGAAAGCCATTAATTTACATAATATCTCTAATTCTAATTCAAAGCCACAGGGCTCATTCTGGTTTTCTCCCCTTCTGTATTTGTAACTGCCTTCTTAATCAGTGAGAAAACTGGCTCCCATCATTCTTAATATATTCGCTTTGCTTGGTTGATCTCCCTGCATGGAGCCAACTTCCCATAGTAGGACACCCTCCCACCAGCACCTCATTCTGCTTGGGCTTTGGCATTCCGCCTTGGCTGTTCCCTTTTCTTGTGTGGACACCCTCTTCATTGTATTTGGGCTGTGACACTCTGCTCCCCTGTATGGATACTCTCTTTGTTCTGTTCTGGCTCTGACATCCCATGCCAGACCCTCCCCACCATGGGGTGCTCTGCTCTCACAGTGCTGGGCTGCTCCAGTAGCTGCCCTACCCTGTGCAGATGTACTCCTCCCTACTCAGCTCCAACACCCACCTGGTCTGCCCCTTATGGGGACATCCTCTCATTCCACTTGGGCTCCAACTCCCTGCTCTTAGCCTCTGAGACTCCCTAACCCTGGCCCATCCTCATGAATGCTGAGTCTCTGGTGATGGTGCCATGCCTCTAGACTATGGCAGTTAATCAGGTAGCCCTTCCTCCACAGTCCCCTAGTTCTATGACTGGATTGTCTCCCCTGATTCCATTAGCTGTAGGGTGGTAACTTCTTTTGCTAGTCTTTGACTGCCTCACCATATCCTGTATTTTCCCTTAACTCTGCCCACGCCTCTCTGTTACCTTCCCATTTAGATCTCTTCATGTGACTATCTGGGGGTGAACTCTCCTGCTTAGAGTACGACTGATATGCTACCTTTCATTTTCTTGGTCTCCCTTCCTGGAAATTTTATCAGTTGGATAATGGATCATTTGCGTTAATCATCTATGCCTCTTATTTTTGCATAGAATTTCCATCTTTTTGTGTTTTTGCTCTACATTATAAGACATTTCTTTACCTTCCCAGTATTCCCATCCCTCCCAATAAAATATTTTTCAGTTTCAGCAATCATACGTTTAATTTTCAAGGGTTCTTTCTTGCTTTCTTGGTCTTATGTTTTCATAGCAATCTGCCCTTATTTGCTGGATTCAGCAACTTTGTTAATCTCCCTAAGGATTAATGGAAGTTTCTTGTCTCTTAAGGTTCTTTTCTATTTCCTGAGGTATTTCAGCTTCTTTTGAGGCCAATTATTTTATTTATCTTGATGTTTTTTTCTTTTGTGCTGTTGATTTTCTGAATGTATGGGACACTTTGGTTCTCTGTTCATAAGAATGGGAAAGTAAATTGATTTTCCTGGATAGCTGATGAGGCTTTCCTTTGCTATGGGTCTTCCAGGGAAAAAGCAAGACAGCTACCCGGGAGCTCTCTGTATGGGTGACATACTTGTCAGCTTCCCTTTAGAATGAGCAGGTGGAAGGCCAGGGACATTTTACAGAGGGCTGTGTCTCCAAGAATGAGTAGGAGTTTTCCAAGTGCAAAATGAGCTCAATGAGTCCAGGTTCTGGAAGCAACATCTACACAAGCCTGGATGTGTAAAACACAATGATATTCCCTAAAAATGAAGAGTTTATGTGGAGAAGGAGTCTGGGGGAGGCACCTTAGGAAACCTTAAGGAGAAACAGTGTCAGACTGATTTTATTTATTTAATCATTTAGAATTTGTTTTTAAATTTTTACTAGGGTATAATTTATATATAGCCCAGTGCAGATATCTTAATGGATGAAGTTATGTGTATTTATACATTCAAGTGACAACCACCCAGATTGGCGATATAAAACTTTTCCATCACCCCAGAAAGAGTGTCAGGCTGACTTTACAGGCTCCCATGGCTGAGCACGTAGAGTCTGTTAGGACCCTGTTGGACTAATTCAGGAGAGAGGTGTGGATTGTGCCATGTGGCTGGAGAGGTTTTCAACTAGAATTGGTAGGCACTGCTCATTAGCTGTGGGTAGGGAGCTCAGGGAGGTGGACAGGCACATAGGACACAGGAATGATAACAGCAGCCACAGATCTCCAGGATGTGTTTCCTGCCAGGGACTGTACTAGGAGCTGTTTGCATCTCATCTCATTTTTTCTCAAGCAAGATTTTATTACTGACTCCATTTTACAAAAGAGAATCTGAGGCTTGGCGAGTTGGCTCCCACGCCTAGCTCCTGACCACTCACCACACGGGTTCTCAGGATGCTCAAAGTAATAGCAAATGGCCAGCAAGGAAGTGGGTTGGGTCCATCTTCACTTCCTGACCCTCAGCTTTCTCCATCAGACCAAGGACAGCATTGATTGACCTTGCAGTGGACTGAGAGTTCAAACTTTGAGCTATCGAGGGCCAAACACACCTTTTTGACTCCAAGGTGATTCACGTGGAACATTCCTAAGGGGGCAAGGAGTGAGGTCTGTCACTAAGCTATTAAGGAAGGTCAATGTCTAGGAGGTTGGACAAAGCCAGACACTTTTATGGTGCAGGGAAAACCCTATTGAGCCCCTTCCTCAGAGACTGCAGAATGCAGCCTGGCCACTGGCAGGACCTCCCAGACTGGGGTCCTGGCCCCAGATGCCAGCGAGTGGGGAAGTACAGCTCCCGGTTTCTTGCTCATGGGCTTTGCTTTCTTGGGGAGCTCCAGATATTCTTGCTCTGCTCTGTTCAGGGCTCAGCTGCCACCAGGGATTGCTGTTTCCTTCCCCGGCTGAGCAAAGGGTCTGATAGCTAGCTCCTGCTCCATTGGTTTAACTAGGAATGTCGGCTATCAGGCACTCCTTCCCCTTCTCGGGGGCTCTCCGGTGCTGAAGAAGGAGTTCGGACTTTGGATTCAAACCCCAACCCCACCATCTACAATTTGGATGACTGAGACAAGTCATTCCACTTCTTTGAGCCTCAGTTTTCTCACCTGTGAAATGGGGGTGATCATACTTCACAAGGTGGGAGTGAGGATGGAATAAGAGAAAGTGCTGCTGCCTGGCGCAGGAGCTGGTCACTATTTTCACTGCTCCCTCAGCTGCTCTCTGATCCATGGGGGCTTGGGCTCAGGCCTGGGAGCCCTGGGCAGTTGCTCAAAGGGCTCACCTGTAAGACCTCAGCCCTCGGCCCCACACAGCTTCCCCACGAGGAGGAGGTGTCAGTGTCTGAGTTCTTGCCCACACAGAGAACAGGTGTCTATAGGTGAATGGTTTCTGGACGGGAAAGACTCTTCACTTTATTATTTTTTTAGTTTTTACTTTTTTGGCCGCACTGCGCGGCTTGTGGGATCCCAGTTCCCTGACCAGGGATCGAACCCCTGCCCCAAGCAGTGAAAGCACAGAGTCCTAACCACTGGACCACCAGGGAAGTCCCAAATACTCTTCACTTTAGACTCCTGGAAGCCATCATTATGATTAAGTTCCGTCAAATGCATTCCTTCCTTCCTTTGTCGGATGCTGTCACTGTATATGGACCCATGCTGGGCTCTGAGGGCAGAGACGAGGAATAGTGCCCTAGACACGGGGAGTATGTTGTGTAAACATACAAGCAGGCTTCGCCACCTGCCTCTGCAGCAGAGCGCAGAAGGCTGCGGGAATGCGTCATGGCACAGGGGACATCGGAGCTGGGCTGCGAAGGAGGAGCAGCATTTTCCCAGGCAATCAAGGCAGGGACGAGAGTGGTCCTGAAAGAAGACATGGCAGCTGCAAACCTGGAGGGGCCAGTGAGCAGAGGCATGGGCGTTTGGCAGACTGGATCTGAGTGTTTCTTAGCTGAGTGACTTTGGGTAAGTTGCTCGATGCTTGAGTCTCACTTGGCTTCATCAGTAAAACAGAAATAAAAATGCCCACCTCTCAGAGCTGTTGTGATGATCCAATAGGGTAACGTCTGCAGAGCCCACATGGGCCATAAATGACAGCTGTCATTCTAGAAAGCTGTCACTGCCCACAACTCTGGAAACATTTCCATAGTCGGCACCATGGATGGTGCCTCTGGGATTACTTGGTGTGTTGCGGGGAACGGCTGGGCGGTCTGGGCCGTGTCCTGTGGGTCATGGGGAGCCATGGAAGGTTTTTTTCCCCCCCAGCTTTATTGAGATATAGATGACATATAACATTATGTACATTTAAGGTGTACAATGAGTTGATTTGATACATTTATATATG